GTTGCACAACCCTGATGAACATAACATCAGTTTAACTAACTTGCTCTTCAAACTGTTTCTCTGTCTTGACCTTGACTACTTGACCTTAAAGGGAAGAGTGACCATGGAAGACAGTTTGCAGTAGTGCCCCCTTTCAGCAACTCTGAGAATGTAACACATATTTGTGTTTTAATTAATAACGTTCTCATTTTGATAATGCAACAACATGTTAAATGAGATTTTGTGCTTGTGTACTTGCATGGAGTGTTTTGAGTGCTCTGCCAATGATTATTTTGTTGTCACAGGGAATAATAAACTTTAAAAGAGAGTTCAGTAAATTTGATGACAGTATTCTCAATGTACGTGTTTCAAATATGCTCTTCTGTTGCTTACAGTCTATTGATAAAGCGGTTTCTTTTAGAAAGAAACAAGCCCTATCCTAAGTAAAATTGACTTCTTTAGCCTTCCAGCACACAGTAACGAATTCTGTGCCAGTATCACCTCACCCCTTGCTTTAAAAACAGTAGAAATTAGTTCTCTTGTTAACATGCATCTGTTTTTTATCAGTGGCTTTTATAGACCTTACTCCACTTCATGTACTGCTTGCCAGGTTTTTGGCTTTGATCAAAGCTAGTTTAACCCAGGTTTCCTAAGGAAAAGTCAGCCAAGTTGATCTCCCAGTAGGTCTGCACGAGACTCCTGCGTCAGACGTGTTCAGACGGCATGGAAACCGCCCTGCCTCAGAGCTCAACCTCAGGACTTCTCATGTGTCTTTCACCGCAGGGTCACTCTTTAATGTGGAGAGACTGGTTTTTTGAATGGTTGTTTCTCATCACAGCGTAATACGTACTTTCAAAATCTAATCAGAGCTTTTGGGCTTTGCCAGGAGACATGCATCTCCCTCAGACAAGTTGAGACCTTACAGCAGATGAGGGCTTTGTTGAAAACGACGTGTTTGAGAGAGGCGGGGCATAGAGGACCTACAATAATGTACAGTATTTGAAAAATAATGTGTTTTTTGAACATTAAAGCATGTCAACATATTGTTACATCAAATACACAAAATAATGATCTTTAAAATAGCATCATATGACCCCTTTAAACCAATACAAATACAGTAATATCTATACTATTGTTCAGTGTTAATTCATGTTCATTGTTAGTTAGGGATTTCTAATGCATGTACTGATGTTAACAAATTGAACTGTTTCAGTCTTAGTTTCATTAAACCAATAATTAAATTGTCTCTTTATATTTATATAATAATTAAATTAACTTTAGGCACTTGTAATGTAGCTAAATGTTTCAAGTAGCTTTCCAAAACTTGATTAGTATTCTGGCTGATCCTTTGGAATACCCCCTCCCCGTTTGTTGTGTATACTCCCTATGAGGAGGGACCATTGTCCAGGATCATATCATATCGCCCTCACAACATACAGGAAAGAAGTTACTTGTGCTGTAGTCATCAGAGAACAAAGCGGTAGGTAGTTTTTACACATCTGCACCACATGATGATTTATGACATCTGATTGCATATTTTTCCATTACTGTTTTCCTTATTTCATCACCTGTTCTCACAGTAGACTGGTTTTGTAGCATTTTGATGGTGTTATTGCGTTATTGTCTTTTGAATGTGATGTGCATGCAAATTTATGTATTTGGTGAGCCCACCCTTGATTTAATGCTGTAGGTTCTGTGGAACTTTGTGCTTTTTCTTACTTTTTTTAGACTGTAAAGAATGTTGAAATTCAGTATGGCCGAATGCTTTATAGCTGGTATGACCTCAAGCATTTTAGAGGCCTGTTGATATTTTCCTTACATTTGTGGTTAAATCCTGAAACTTAACTTGAGTGATATTCATTTGGTGTTCATGTTACGGCTGTGTTTGAATTGTAGGGTGTGTTTATGCCAGTGTAATGTGAGTGGGTTATGGGGGTCTGTGGCTAATATTGGCTTTATTTCAGATGGCAGAATAAAAGACGTTGCTGTTTCGCAGGCAGATTCTGTTACTGGGTTTCTCGATCCATTGCTTCTGGTCAGCTTTTTTTCGGTTTTTCACTTTGACATAAAATGCTTATGAGCAATGTGATGCACATACCAATCAAATCAAGTGATGACCAAACAAATTCAGTACGGTGCAGTTTTCACATCTCATCTTATGAAGGACTCTCTCATCATTGTCTAATGAAACCATTTGAGAAGCTATTTCAGAATGAGCCACCTAGTAGCAGTAACTTCACCATTTGAATCCAATAGGCATCGTACTCCATTGACAACCAGAACAGGTTCACTTTAAGTGTTCCTGCTCAAGGTAGATGATTGTTGACATCTGAGGTGCGTGAATATGTGAGGCTGAAAACAGCATACAACAGCAGGGTTGTGTGGTAAATGTAGACGGCATATGGCAGTCCTGTGTTGATCAGCATGAGTTTTTCATAAACCAAAGGAAAAACCAGATCCAGCGGGCTCAGTCTGCACCTGCGTGTTGAGTGTTTTAGACTTAGATGGTGTGCCATTTAGTAATGGTTTATTATGACCATGAAAGCATCATTTGGAGTATGGCATGGACTTTTAGAGATTTGGCCCTGGAATTCAGAAGTACATACTTTACGGTTTAAAGAGGTCATATGAGGCTGCTAGAACACAGAATACATTTGTTGACTTTTAAAGGAGCAGTCCTTTCTTTTTTCCATTTCCAAGTGCAGTTTTTTAGCTCTTTTTCGTACAATGAAAGTGGATGGGGACTGGGTTTGTCAAGGTCCAGAAATGGGTAAAAACAGTACTTTAAAGTAGTCCATATGATTTGTGCGCTATATGTACCGTTCAAATGTTTGGGGTAGAGTAGGTTTTATTATTATGTTTTTGAAAGAAGTCTCTTATGCTCACCAAGGCTGCATTTATTTGATCAGAAACACAGTAAAAACAGCAATATTGCAAAATATTTTTCTATTTTATATAATAAGTTTTCTATTTTCAAATATTATAAAATGTCATGTATTCCTGTGATATAAAGCTGACTTTTCTTTACTGTCACTTTTGACTAATTTTTGAACAAAAAAGCAAAAACAAAATCTTACTGTCTCTACACTTTTGTTTAGTCTTCTCAAATCATAGGATAGGTTTCTGTACGACAGCGACAGATATTTCTACAATTACCCCATCAACTTCGGTCAGAAATCTTGGTGTAACTTTTGATAACCAGCTGACCTTCAAAGACCACATTGCAAAGACCGCTCGATCTTGCAGGTTTGCATTGCACAACATCAGAAAGATCAGGCCCTTTCTAACGGAGCATGCTGCACAACTTCTTGTCCAGGCCCTTGTCATCTCTAGGCTGGACTACTGCAATGCTCTTCTGGCTGGACTCCCATCAAGCACAATCAAACCTCTACAAATGATTCAGAATGCAGCGGCACGACTGGTCTTCAACGAGCCCAAAAGAGCCCATGTTACACCTCTCTTCATCTCCTTGCACTGGCTACCGGTTGCGGCCCGAATCAAGTTCAAGACATTGATGCTTGCATATAGAACAGCCACAGGCTCAGCACCCGCCTACTTCCACTCACTACTACGAATTTACATCCCCTTCAGAAGTCTGAGATCCGCTAGTGAGCGACGCCTCGTGGTGCCATCACAGAGAGGCTCAAAATCACTTTCCAGAACATTCTCGTTCACCACTCCTGGCTGGTGGAACGATCTTCCCACCCCTATCCGGAATGCTGAATCCCTGACAATTTTCAAGCGACAGCTGAAAACTCATCTCTTTCGAAGCTACCTCATCATAAAATTTTTTTAAAAATTCTCTCTCTTTATTTATTCCTTCTCTTTCTAGCTTGTACTTATTTGAACAATGTCTAAGAACTTGGTATTACAACCACTTCCTGTGTCTGTTTGTCTCTTTAAGAAGAATCGCTTTATGTATCCCCCAATTGTAAGTCGCTTTGGATAAAAGCGTCTGCTAAATGACTAAATGTAAATGTAAATTTATTAGGTGAAAATATTTCAAATTGTGCACATATTCAAATATGGTGCCTCTAGACACTTTCCACCTGGTTTCACATTGTTGGTTCTTTTGTGTTGTGTGTGTTTATTATTAATTCAAATATACACAAACGAGTGAAGTATTACATTTTCTCTTTTCTTGTGAACAGTTCCTAAGACAAAAAATTGCATTTAGGTCACAGTGCTGGTTTTGCTATATTTGTGCAGATGTGAGGATTTGTCAGGTGGTTGAGTATGAGCAGTTTGTGTTTCTGTATGAAGAAACAGCTGAGATGGCTGGGAATGTAATACAGACCTCACATTTTTATAGTTAATTTTTAGCATGATCCCCCTCAAATAGAACCTCTGGCAGCAGCCAGGGGATTTTGGGTACTTGCTTGCTCAAATAGCAAATCCAGCCATTGGAAAAAACAAATTACACTAACTTGAAACCGCAGTCCTTAAACAAACCCCCTTAAAGCTCCTGTCAGTCTTGCTCCGTCAGCTTAAAGCTTTGAACAGACCATTTAACATGCAACACATTAGTTATGGAGCATTACGTGTTAGAAATGTTATGTTTGAGTGTTGAAACTTGTATGGGATTACTATTTCAAGTCTACAGGAAGGGCTTCAATGAATGCATCATTTTATCTTGAAGTTAATTACTAGATTTTATTTTAAAAGATGCTTCTCTAGCATGCAGTTGCATTTAGGTCGAGCTGATATCTCAATGAGTGCACAGTCCAGCAGGCAGATGGCCCGTGTCAGATGATGACCTCTGACCCAGGATATAGGATGAAGAATTTTGAGAGGGTTAATCATGGCTAGTTTGAACAAAAACTACTTCAGATCTGCTCTGACTTTATGAATGAGTTTATTTATATGAATGTCTTCACTGCTGGCTCCAGATTTATAGTCTTTCATGAATGAGCACTTGGTTTCTTTGTCCAGCAGTTTCCACAGCGGAACTAGTGAAGCCTGTAAATGACATTTTAGATCTTTCCCAGAGTGCTAATAATCTTTCTTTACTGTTTTTTTAGGGTGCTGGACAGGACAAACTTGGCATTTACATCAAGTCTGTTGTCAAAGGAGGTGCGGCAGACGTGGTGAGTTCGGTTTGGTTTATATTGTGATGTTCTTTATGGGCAAATGCAGATGCTGTGACCTCATTTCTTCAGAAACCACTAAGTGTGATTTCTCATACTTACAAGTGCTATTGAAAGTACTCGGTACTATTTTTGGAGTTGAAGCTGTAAAATCTGTCAAATCATTAATTTTTTTTCATAAAAAGTACAAATCTAGTTCAACCTTGCCGTTTAATGACTGTTTGAGTCTTGTTTTTGAATGTTTCTCTTTAGGATGGGCGTCTGGCTGCAGGAGACCAGTTGCTCAGCGTGGATGGGCGAAGTCTGGTCGGCCTCTCACAAGAGAGGTAATTCTGTAGCATTTGGACCTTTAATGATGTCTGTAGAATGGGATTTAAATAAATTTGAAATGGACTTACAGGTAAAGCATGCAATTTCCGGCTACATCGAAAAAGATGAGCATCTCAGCTAAATAAACTAAAGGATTGCATTCTAAAACCATTTCATTACACCACATAAGCAAAGACTGTGTCTTAATATATATAATTAAGTTGTGTAAGTACAAAATATGACTGACGTCTCTCAGTCTTTAGAACATAGCCAGGTAAAAACGCCATTAAAATGAAATTTAACATTTGAATAAGTTCTGGGTCTCATTATTGGGATTATTGAATATATGTGGCATGGTGAATGACATTAATTTTTGTATGCTTTAAAAAAAATATGCACTCTTTAAAATAAAAAAGAATGAGAGAGCTTCTGAAAAGTGACAAATATTGCCCTTTCATGGAGAAGTTAAATTTCTGACAGTTGTTTGTCATGTAATTATCCTGGATTTGACTTGCAAGCATCGTTATTCCTAGTTTAACATTTTCAGCCGTTAGTCTGTGCAGTACAAAGCACCTTTTGTTTGCGAAGTCAAAACGGCTCCAAAAAACATTCTAATTTCTGTCAGAAAAATTGCATTTATGCTTGTAGTTTTGAGAAGTGGTGGAATTGATGAAACTCTCAAATCTGTGGATTTGAGTTAAATGAGAAGCGTATGGCTCAAAAGCCTTGTGAATAGACACAACTTAAATTGCCTTTGGGATTCGTTCCAGCCTCCGTCTCTTTGTTTACAGTCAGCTGACAGCAAATCCAAACAGACATTCTATGAGATTAGTCTCTTTAAATAATCTCTTGTGGGATTGCGCAAATAATGCTTTGAACTTGAAATTCATTCATCATAGTCTGCAGTTTTGTGTGTTTTGCTCAGATGTCTCTGTGTTGTAGGGCGGCGGAATTGATGACACGAACCGGCTCAGTCGTAACACTCGAGGTGGCCAAACAGGGAGCCATTTACCACGGTCTGGCCACGCTCCTCAACCAGCCATCCCCCATGATGCCCCGCGGTAAGTAACAGTATTCTGCTTAAAAAATATCAGTGGCTGCCACAAAGCGTGCTAGCGTGACTAATTCCTTAACAAGGTGGAAATGTGGTGGCACACCAAATGGTTCAAGAGTTGCGTTAAATATAAATGCTTTCGACATATGTCTGGTAATGTTTCTGATTTGGTGCATTGTGGGTGATTTCCCCCATTACAGAGAGATGGGCACTTTCCCAGTGCTGAATTTAGTCTAATTCAAGCCTTTTTTTCATCTCTGCAGCATCAGACCGTGGACGTGGAGACAAGGGAAAGATGAGACCAAAGAGCGAGGGCTTTGAGCTCTACAACAACTCTGTGCAGAACGGCTCGCCTGAGAGCCCCCAGGGCACGTGGGACACCTATCCTGAACCAAAGAAGGAGGACAGGTTGTTGAAGAACCGTGCAGACCACCGCTCCAGCCCAAATGTGGCTAGTAAGTTAATGGGCCACTTCAAACACTTGACACATTTATCAGTATGGCTCATTTTCAAGTGCTGACATTATAGTAATATGCACCTTTTTTCCCTAAAGACCAGGCCCAGAGTCCAGGTGGGAAGCCTGTTTATCCTGGAGCCCCAGGAAAGATCACTTCAGTCTCGACGGGTAACCTCTGCCCTGATGTGAGTACACACAATCATCGGCACCTCTAAGATGAATGTTGCATGAGTGTGCGGAAACTCTCTTTCCCCAGTGAATTAAGAGCATTACTAGCACTGCTATTTAGCAACACTGATATTGAATCTACAGTGCAACCTGTGTTGTCCAACTCATTTCTGAGTGAATAAGATGAATAAGTGAATCAAAACTTATATACTATAGGTATAAGTATAGATCAACTGATTCCAGAGCAAATGATTATGAGCTGGTTCTTTTTAACAATTCAGAAGTATACCACATAAAGTATAGTTCAGCCATTTTCCAAATGGATGAGTTGGAAACGAATCAAAACATACAGCATGACCAGTATAGTTTAACCAGTTCCTAAATAAATTATTCTTTTAATTAATTAAAAATGTACCATGTGAAAAGTACAGTCCAGTTCATTCTCAAACAAATGAATCTTATAAGTTGATTCCTTATTATTGAATCACAAATATACAGCATGGCCAGTGTAGTTTAGCTGATTCCCAAGCAAATGTCTCTTATGAGCTGGCTTTTTTAACGATTCAAAAACATACCAAATGAAAACTATAGTCCCAACTATTTTCCAAATGGATGAGTCTTATGAGTTGATTCTTTTTAGTGAATCAAATCATACAACATGACTAGTGTAGTTTAAACAATTCTCAAGCAAATGTCTCTCATGAGCTGGTTCTTTTTAGTAAATCAAACAAATACTGGTACATACAATTTGATTTAGTAAATTCCTTACGATTCCCATTCCTAGTAAGTTATTTACAAAGTCATTAAGAATAAGTGGCTACTTTGGCTGCATTGAAGCTGTTTTGGGGGACAATAACAGCAACTTACACTCTATAACTCAATTGAAAACCTATAAATATCAGTGTTTGACAAAATATATTTTGCTAAAAAAAAAAAAGAGGGTGTAAAATTGCTTCATTGGAGTTCTGGGAACAATGTTGTGTGACTTTAACAAATCGCAATGAACCTTTTGAACCAACCCCGAAAGTGAATTGTAGCGTTTTGTCATGCTACACAATTAATTGGAATGACTCATTGCTAGAGAAGATAAAAAATTTAGTAAACTGCTGAGCTAATGACACACCACTGAAATATGTAGATAAGTTAGTAGTGCCACCTTTTTTTATGTGTTACTCCCTTATATCCAGAAACACATGAGAATAGTTAAAGGGGTCATATGATGCTGTTAAAAAGAATATTATTTTGTGTATTTGGTGTAATGAAATGTGTTTTTGTGGTTTAAGGTTCAAAAAACACATTATTTTCCGCATATTGTACATTATTGTTTCTCCTTTATGCCCCGCCTTTCTGAAACGTGTCGATTTGTACAAAGCTCATCGGTCTGAAAAGCGAAATGTTCTCTGATTGGCCAGCTATCCAGTGCGTTGTGATTGGCCAGGCATAAAATGCGCTGGACACATCGGAATATTTGGGTTGAACTGTTCTGGAACAGAGTTGTAAATACAACTTAACCACTGATTTTTAGTCGTGTCCTCTTTTGGAAGGCCAAACAAAGTAGTTTCTCTTTCACAACGAAACACCGCGTCACACACGGCGGGCTAGAGTGAGCGGGAGGCCGGGGGCTAGAGTGAGCGGGAGGCCGGGGGCTAGAGTGAGCGGGCTGCCGGTGGGCTTGAGAACGGCGTGGTGGGCAGGCTTGCAGCAACCACATGTAACGACCCCGGGCTGGACTCCGCTTCGTCCACGGTGAAAGCCAGTCCGCTGATCCACAGCGCAAAGTTGATGTATTTCCTCAGTGACCCATACAGATCAGCTCCAGGCATGACGAAGCGAATATCGTCCTCTTTTGGAAGGCCAAACAAAGTAGTTTTGCTTTCACAACGAAACACACAGCGCCTTCACGACATGGCGTCAGTGGCAACAACAATACTACAGCGAGAATAAAAGTTACGCCGCTTTTCTTTGCGTGAATATTTGGGTGACGTTTTGCAAATCTTCCCACATCGTGACGTAGACATGTGGGGGCGTGTTTTAGGTAGGTGTGGTTGACTCTTAACTTTTATAAAGAATATCTCTTTGGATTTGAGACTTTAGTCTTTGCAACTTTACAGATCTTCTTTATGCACCAAGAGCTTGTAACACTCCAAAGAGAAGGGAACATTTTTTATCGCATCGTATGACCCCTTTAATGCTGAAATGTGTTGCACTTTCAGATATTGTAATGTAGTTGTCTTCTTCAGTGAGGCCTCCTCTGGTTTTAATTAAATCACCAGAAACTCTCAAATCCAAACACATACTAGCACATGTTTTTTGACTCTAAAACCACAGCCTAATAGAAGTCTAATAAAAACCTGATTTGTGACTCTGTTGTGTTCTTGTTGTAATTAATCCTAATCATGTCTGTAACCACCACTGTAAATCACTCTTTGATCCACACTCCTTGATTCTCATTGACTTATACACGTATAGTACATGCAAACTCTTATACTAGTTTCTGTAATCAATTATAATACACTAAAAAGAGATGGAATGTGAATTTAGTCCCAATTTAGTCTAATCTGTCTTTACCCTGTTTGTCCTACAGGAGGAGCCCTCTCCAACCCATCCAGAGGCGTATCCAATCCCCACTCAGACGTACCCAAGGGAATACTTCACCTTCCCAGCCTCCAAATCTCAGGACAGGATGGACCCTGGGCAGCCCTGGCAAAACAATGAACTGGAGCCTCTCCCCCCTATGGATAACCACTCTAACAACAGCATGGCTATGCAGGTTAGCCATATTAGAATGCATATGAATGGTGCTGGTACCACAGTCAACTCAAACACTAGCAGTACCACAGTATAACTATAGTACTAGCACACTAACTGTACAGTTATTGTAGATTATTTCATGTCTATTTATTTATTAGCAGTGGTGGAAAGAGTACTGAAAAAAATATACTCAAGTAAAAGTACTATTACCTTCCAAAAAATGTAGTGTGAGTAGAGTAAAAGTACTTGTCCAAAAAACTACTTGAGTAAGAGTAAAAGAGTAGCCTATTTAAAAGTACTCATGAGTATTGAGTAGTGAGTACTGAGCTGTGGATTCTACCCCCTCATAATAAAGGCTGTACACAGCAATTTATAGATTTTAAAAACGTTGTACATTCTGTAATTCATATTATCTTATTTGTCATAAAGAATGAAGAATATCTATCATCCAGCAGTTTTAATTTTGACTGCCAACTCTTTAAAATACATCAAAACAGCACGGAAACAGTATTCAGTGGAAGAAAAGATGGAAGTTGTTCTCAGTGACCATCCCCATTTAAATCATAAAGTTTGAAAAAATAGATTTAAAATCATGTGTCAGGCCACTGAGACAGCATGCTGTTGTTGCGCATAAAATATTAATGTTTAGGTGCCAGTTTTAGCATTTTGCAATAAAGAAATTAACATTTTAACATCAATGCACATTGTTCTAGAAGGATGGCAAATTTTTATGCTGATAATACAATTTGTAAGGAAAAATGTATTAAATAGCGAGTTATTTCTGGGGAAACTTTTTCAAAGGCAAACACACACACACACCCACGTCTCTTTGCTGAGCCGCGGCGGTCTCGGTGAATCAGCAGCATCCACAACTGAACGGAACAAAAAGTGTTGAACTTGAAAATTGTTTATGCGCGAGTGCACTTGCTAAATGAAGGCGGATTGTATATAATGTATTTTAAAAAAAACGTTTTCACAGCACGCATCACGTGCTCAAACTCATCAAAAGTCAACAAGTTCAACAAGCAACAACGACTTGTCCAAGTGACTGCTGCAGAACGCACGCGAGAGAGAGAAGAGGTGGCGCAGATCGCGCGTCTCATAAGTGAGTGGGGAATTTACCGAACATGGCACTTGCGGGAGTTAACACTGTACACAATACCCGCAACCTCACACCAAATTTCAGGCCGTGTAGATAGGCAAGCATATATACAAATCATTTAGTAAGCAGAAATCCAAATTTTACCTTAACATTAAGTTAGAGGAAGATCGACTGAATTGATGCTTGAATAATGCACTTCCAGCAGCCATGATAAACAGTTGGCGGTTAAAGTTTTCTATGCACAATTTGATTTGACGAAAGTCACGAGACCTATTACTCTCTATCCAATCACGTTGATGGATAAAAATAAAATTAAAATAAGCATGTAACGACCACAAACGGAGGAAAAAAGCGGAGTAAAAGTACCGATACATCACTTAAAATGTACTCAAGTAAAAGTACACAATTTTTAAACTACTCAAAAAAGTACAATTACTGATAAAAACTACTTAATTACTGTAACGTGAGTGTTTGTAATCCGTTACTCCACCCCCCTGGGAATGACGAATCATAAACAACAATAATATTACAAAATCAAATATTGTATCTAAAATACTATCAACCATATACTGTATATACACTGTGTTCCAAATTATTATGCGAGTGACATATCAATAGGATTTCGGTACAATAAACAGTCCGATTTTTAGTTTGTTTTGATTTTCACATCATTTCAGGTAACTGGTATCAATCTCAGGCAGGTTTGTTCAATAGTTTGCCAGGTCATCTTTCTTCCTCACCATATTGCATGAGAACTGTGACTTGCTTAATACTGTGGAACAACCTCTTTAAGTAGGGCTGCCATTTACCTAAGAAGACCTGGCAAACTATTGAACAAACCTGTCCAAGATTGATACCAGTTATCTAAAAAGATGTGAAAAACAACAAACAAAAATCTGACTCTTTATTGTACCGAAATCCTATTGATATGTCACTCGCATAATAATTTGGAATGCAGTGTATATATATTATACACTGTAATTGAAATCATATATAAATATTAATATTTTATATATATATAAAGAAAACATACTTTCTTAAATATATGCATGAATGTGTGTGTATTACTATTTATATATACATAAATATACACAGTACACACATACATTATGTAACAAAAACTTTTATTTTAGATGTATATACAGTGGTGTGAAAAAGTGTTGGCCCCCTTCCTGTTTTTTTACATTTTTTGCATATTTGTCACACTTAAAAGATTCAGATCACCAAACAAATTTTAATATTACACAAAGGTAATGCAAGTAAATACAAAATGCT